CACTTTGTAATAATTCTTTAGTATATTACTTGTGTGGTGTAGAAGATAATTATTTATGTAGAGATACTGCTTGCAAACCAATGATGGTAAGATGATGTCAGATTTATCCAGTCCTACCCCATGACTTCTTCCTACTCCATTCAAGCATGTACTAGGTATAAGCACATTGATATTGGATTAGCATTTGTTGGATATGTGTAAAATTATGTGTATTGATACATCAACTGTCTTTACATGCTTGAAAGAATAAATCAAATCAAGATTAGAACAGACTGTGGAGACCTTCTGCAAACGTTCAAAAACAAACAGGCTCACTTTCTGATGTCCACGTGCAGCAGTGCACAGGAGCTCACTGCCATTGGTGTGTGAGTGTGAATGAGAGGCCAACTGTAAAGCTCTCCAGATAAAAGTACTATATGATTCAAACACTTTAAATTTTATTGTAAAATCCACATCTGTCAATCAAAGGTGACCACGGTTGTCATCCTCCATAAAAAAAAAAACATTTCCACTACCTGCTTTTAAACCTACAGAAGATGACTGACCACAAAAAGAATGTAAACTGCTTGTGTGAAGTGCAAAGATCAGCAGGACAATAACTGGTCAACAGGTAGAGTTCACATTTCCTGGATACAGACGGTGATCATGTCGGTACAGGACGGTAATAAAGAGTGTACTAACAGAACAACTGCTGTAAAACTGCTGCTCATCACGCTGTGTTACGTAACAGCCTGTTTGGAGTAAGAATACTAAGATCTGAGAAAACGAGTGCATGAAGACCCGTGCAACGATCATTACAGGTTAAAAGACATTTAAACACTTAGAAAAACACACTTTCCCAGGTTAAACATTCCCATATGATGGAGAGCAGACACACACTGTGGGTCCTGAGCTCAGTGATCTCATTAAACAGTGTTTTATAGGCTGACAGCAAACAGAATCAGGGAGGGCGCCCTGTAAAAGGGAACAGTCTGGGGAAAGATTACCCAGACAGACACAAAGGTTTAGGGGTTACCATGGTGACAGTGAAACTTCGCTGAGGGCAATGCGGCACCTCACCCAGCGGAAGGTGAATTAACAGTGAGACACGGAAGCCGGCCTGTTTAACTTGCAGTGAGGAGTCACTCGACTTCAGACTGAGTCTGTAGGCGAGCACACTGGAGCTACAGTACAGGCTGTAATCTGCAGGGTCTGGAGGTGAGACACGGAGAGAATGATGCTTTATTGCTTCCAGAACTGAGGTCTCTTCCGCATGAGATTAAGTGGCACATTCAATCATTAACCTACTGCCAGGTAACAGGTCGGAAAAGGCTGAGTAAGAAAGTGAAGCTCAGAGAGCGTGTGTGTGTGTGTGTGTGTGTGTGTGTGTGTGTGTGTGTGTGTGAGCTGGGGACGTGGACACTTCTGGCTGGGTGTCGATGCCTTTCACATCACTGACACTCATCACTCCTTCGTGGGTATATTTGATTTGTTTAAACCAGTTACTCCGCCAGCTCAGCACTGCGCTCCTATAAAACTGTCAGACTCTGTACTGTCAAAACCTGGTGCCTACATTACCCAGAATGCAATTCAACTGCAGACAACTCAGTCAGATATTGGGGTGTATCAGGCTAGTAACAGCTAATGTGGCCTGAAGCATAAACCACAGTGTGCGGGAGCAGCGGCTGCACCGACTCCTCTCAGCTGACTACAGTAAAAACGACAGCTGATGTGTGGATGGACTCGAGCTCGCTGACCTTTCCCTTCTGTTTGAGAGGTTCGATGGTGAGGCTGTCAGCGCCGATGTCCACAATGGTCCCCAGCTGGAACCCTTCTGTTGGGTGGGGCGCCCACACTGGCTTCCCATCCTCCATCGCACCGCTCTGAGGGCACTGGAAAACATCACACACACACACACACAGAGTCAGGTGTGGTATCCTCACTCAGGCTTCATGATATGTGCAGGGAAGTATTTCTTATTAAATCTTTATATTATATTTTACTTCTAAATTCACTAATACTTGTATCTGTAGGTCTGATGTTCTGATATTTCCCAACACCAGACTCTGTGTGTCTGTCATGTTAAAGATCAACGCCAACAACAATAAAGACAATGGAAGTAAGTTGAGAAATTGGACTCTGACATGTTGTATTATCATAAAGATGTTAAAATGTGGTCAATAAAACAAACCCTAACCAAACCAGAAACCAGAGGATTATAAACCTGAACAGGGTATGTGACCATTTTATCCCCTTTAATCTTTATTAGACTTTTTAACAGCTGGGCATATTTTAAAGCACATTTTCCAATTGTGTGTGCAAATATTTCTCACCGACAAGAACACACTTAATGTTCGGACTGACTTGCCTACATCTGTACCAGTGCTAATTGCTATGTGGCACCTTCAGTTTAAAGATTAACATTTAAAAGTAGGAGCAAACACAAAGTGCAGTAACTCATGTGCACTGAGCTCTCTGGGGCCTTTTGGCAGCCAACAAGACAATTACAGTGTTACTGAATCAAAGCAGCAGCTGATCACATTACTGTGGTGAAGGCCTTTTCCCTCTGGGGCGACCTCTGATACGCACAGCCGTGGAAACAAAAGGAGAAATCGCTTAGCTCAGGGCGTGTACAGAAAAAAGTAAAACTCAGGTAAAAGCTCCAGGAGTCATTAAAAAAAGATGATGATGCTTGTACAAAATGTGGCTGTTGAACAGTCGATAGACTATTTACCGCCATCTGCGCCCAAACACAAAATGATATTTTTTAAAAATCATTGCATTTTCTACATCCATCAACAGAGCCATGCTGCTAACTCAGCTAGTCCTCCTCTTTGGACTGTTCACCTAAGGACTGGTCAGACTTAGGTGTTAATGTAGTCAGAGCCCTGTGGCTGTAGCTCCTGACTTCCACGCCACCTTTATTTCCATGAACACCGTGAGCCCGAGGCGCAGCAGACCACAAACTACCACTACGTGTGAGCAAACTGGAAAAACGAGCCAGCAACCCCCTGGACCAGTGGCTGTGTTTACTGCAATCACTCCCACGTGTTAGCAGCATCCTGAGCCTGCTAACATGAAGGAGACGGGGTCACGGCCGAGTTTCCATCCACACAGCTGATGACAACACGCTGCAGCTCCAGTCTTCACATGGCGGCCCCCTGGCAAACTGGAAGACAGCACGGAATTTTCTGTGGGATCTCAATGACCTCAACAGCTGCTGCACTAAGAGGCTATCACAGCCAATAAGGGAATTTAGACCATTATCATCCGAGTACAATCTTATCAGAGCAGACGGATGGCTGCTGTAACTGTAGGATCACTGCTCTGACTCCTTCAGGAGCTCAGGACTTCATCGCTGTCCAACACTGGCTCACACCACAGACCTCGACACTCAGCTCCGATCTTTTTGTGTTGCTGTCTCACATCCATGTGTGTCAGTGCCATGTACCCAGCTCTGGTGTGAACACCGCTGAGCTCCAAAACACACTGAAACATGTCTGAGCGTATGTCCATTCCGACAGCGCTCACGTGGTCAGAGATCAGATATGAATTTCATCTGCAGTAGGTACACATATGCCTGTGGCTTAAATCTGAAGATCTCACTTGGTTGTTCACACAGTCTGAGCGTAGCTTTAGCGCCAGGAAACCAGCGTCTGAACACACGTCTGTGTTCTTAAAGATACAAGAGCAAACAATGCTCTGGTTCGAGTGTGTGGATGGTTTTCTGCAGGTCAGTGTCGCCGTCCTGTAGCTCAGAGGCTCGAGGAAAACCAACAACAAAAACTGTGTTCATTGTGTTTTGAGTTGAAACAAAAGAGTGAAGCTACTTCCTGTTCTAATCCATGTACCATATTCAGCTCACATTACTGATGTAATGCTGTGGAGACACTGGATAATCATCTGTCCACATATCCAACACTGCATTCATCATGAACTGAGGGTGAAAGGTTGAGTCACAGGCGTCCAGGGAGAAAGGCTCTGCCCTGCTGACTGCTCAGTGCTTCATCACTGCTATGAGTAAAATCTTTTTTGAATTTTGAGTTGAATGGGTTATCATTTAGTATTTTAAAGCACAAGTACAGTAGTACTTCACATGTGGTTACATCATAACGCCTATACAGCTCAATCGTTTTTGAAGGGTAGACTGGCAGGTAGAGCAGCAGTCAAACGTTTCTGAGCAGCGCCAAGTCCAGTGGATAACCTTAAATGGTACAAAGTTAAAAAGTAAACTGCCAGTGTTGATCTGTAGGAAGAGGAGTGAAATGAATGTTACTGAATGAGTTTATTTGTTAACTTCTTTTGTTAAAGGCCACTGAGTGACGAAGCAAATGAAGCTTCAAAAACTGAGATGCCAACAGTTCCTACAGGTCCCGACTGCTGCTGACTGACAAAAACAGATTCTGTCTGCACAAAGGCAGACTTGGAACAGACTGTGTCACTGCATCCTCTGGAGCATCATTTGGAAAAAGGCCACGGACACAGGGAGTCGGAGCTTCTCAGTGTTTCGTCCTGTAGCAGGAGAATGAGCAACAAACAGCTCCAGGCTGTGGAGGAGCACTGACCAGTGATGGACCGACAGCACAGGGTCCAGACTTTCCAGGTGAAGCGTGAAAGCAAAGCAACCTACAGGTGCAGCACATCTGTGGGAACATCTGCAGCAGCGCTGTCTGTCCCAGCTGTGTCTGATCTCAGCGGTAGAGAGAATGACACAGGTGTGTTCATCTGTTGGATCACACTGACAACTACTGGAAACACGGAGGTGTCCCCAAACATGTGACCAGTGGTGTCTGTAGGTGGTGTGCTGCTACATATGCTTTTTGAGTAAGTGGGAGGAAGTCTCGGTAGGTAGGTAAGTTACTTTGGATGGGTCAGATACTGTCGGTAAGCATCTTGAATCTATGGCCAGTCGTACATTTCCAGACCACAACCAAAACAATGCTCAAGAAGTCAAAATGTTTGTAATCTCCACTGATCACTCCCAGTATACACTTTACACTTCTGACATTCAAACCTGCCTGACACAAAACTAAATTCAGCACTTGACTAAATATAACCTGACCAATAATTTCTCGTTTCACCAACCTAAAGACCTCTAGACACAGCTGATCCCCCTGGTCTGAGGCAGCTAATTCAGAAAACCACAGTCCCTGCAGCAGTCGGCTAATGGCGGAGCAGAGCCTCGGCCGCTGTTGTTACCGGAGCCTTAAATAAGAGGTTACAACTGATTTCCAGCCACTGCCCTAAATATTAAAAATCAGCTTCTGGAACATTATTTCCATTAACATCCTCAGTCAGGTGAAAAATTAAAGCATGCACAGTGAGCAGAGGGCTCCCAGTGCAGCCATCAGACTGGGTTACTGGGTCAGCACTCACACAAGCATTACGCTAATGGAGCCTTCACTAAATTGGTTTTAAAGGGCAGCAACAGTTGTATAATAAATCATTTATTGAAACAAATACTTAACTATTCAGATTATGAATTGTACATTTACTCAGTGGCTCCTGCTCTCAGCGCTGAGACAGTAACAGTGTGAACAGAACAACAGGTGTGTTCAACACCATTAACAATTCACTGATGAAGAGAAAACATATCGACGACAGGAAACGTGAAGTAACATGGCTTTTAAGCTTTAACTCGCTCGTCTTGGTTAGTTAGGTAGCTAGCTGGACACCGCAGAGCTACCACTTCAGAAACCGTTCAGCATCGAGGTGAACGAGTGACTCCGTCTCCTGGATGAAACCTGCCACACCCAGGGACACCTGACCAACGGCACCCACCTGCATCAGGCTTTGTGGCTTTTTACCGGTACAGACAGGGATTTTTTTTTTTTTGTCTTTCAGCTTAAAAGAGCTGGACACACCTGTGCTTTACAGCATTTTGAGTTCACAACAAAGCAGTTCAGTGTCTGGTTACGGACTGAACAACTCTCAGCGTTTACATAATCCAACATATGATGGAGAAGTAGCTGCTGGTTGTTTGTTCTGCTGTGAAACCTGAGCTGAGCCCAAAGCTGAAGAAAGTGTCATAATACACCATATAGACAGCACATACAGTGTTTCATAAACACCCCCCCCCCAAAAAAAGCATCTGTTGACTCATCAAATAATCAATTATTCATGAACATGTTTTCAAGTCACATGAGATCAAACAAGGAAGAAATGAGAAGCTCTGACACTCATGAATCAATTCACAGATTTAAAATATACATCTATGCTCATATTAGTTTAGAGTCTGAATTAAACTGGCTGTGATAAACTGAGATTCCCTGATGCCGAGACATTCTGAAGTCTAATGGGTCAAAAACACTGGACCACCCTGCGTTTTGACTTGAAGAAGCTCAATAGTCTCCATGTTTGGTACAACACTCCAGGTCCACTGTGCTTATTTGTCATGTTTCTGAAACATCACAGTTCAGTGGCACCGAAACATCTGGACACAGCATCTGTTCTACACCGACTTCTTATCCACGACACAGACCGTCAGCAGACAGCCTCCAGGGCTTCAGGGGAAGTGCTACGTCTCTGCAGCGTCAGACTGTCAGGGAGGACTCCAGCTTTAAAACTACGTGGTCGAGCTGAGATGAAAACAAAATGCACTTAGTGCAGAAGCTGCCAGCAGCTGTTGCTTTGTGTGTTGGAGAGGACGACACATTTCATGGCAGTGGACGAAGCGCAGTTTGAATCCTCGACCCACTCCTCTGCTGACAAATGGCTGATTGTTGACATGTCGGAGCTCACTGAGAGCTCACTGTCACAACCGCTCAGCCGGGTCACATGGTGCCCAGACAAAACTCCCTGAGTGCAGCTCGACAGAGACACAGCAGGCCGAGAGTGTCGATGCTGAAAACTGCACGGGTTACATCTTAACGTTTCTGAAACACCAAACTCC